TGAACAGCTAGTTGGCAGCAGTGAGCCAGACATTTGGCTATTAAGTGTTTGGTGACCATATTGTAAATTAATATTAAAAACTAAAAGCTGCAAAAAATATATTTTCAAACTATTTATTGGCATATTTAGTCTAATAATTGAAAACATGGATGGTTTTTGGACCAAAAAAATCGCAATATATCGCCTTGTTTACAGTATCGCAATATATCAGGATATATCGTATCGCCAACTTCTTGCCAATACACAGGCCTAGCGGCTATAGGCCATGTCCAGTCCAGTAATATAGATCAATGCATTAGCTGTTTGTTTAACAGAATACTTGCAGTTTAACAAGTATTATATAATTTAATTTTTATTATGTTTACATTAATGTTAAAATACATCTGAGTAAGCTATTAATTTTCAGGTTCAGATTCATATGTTTCATGGATTATTTTAATTATCTGGGAACTTATGTTCAGGTAGAACCATGGATAACAGGTGACCTTCACAGGTATGATGAGCAGGTGAGATRAGATGTGCACCGGAGCAGGAAGTGAACCCACAGGAAGCTTAGATGGACAAAAATAATGTTGAATAATTAGAAAAATAATCACAGATTAGTTGATTATCAAAGCAGTCATTAGTTGCAGYCCCAGTGTGGAGCTGAAGACAGGAAACAATCTGGACGACGTCTGAGGGTAAGCTAATGCTAATCTGCTAGCGAGCTATAGGAAAGAAGCCCAGCGTAAAAGTACGTAATGTCGATAAATTAAGGTTTAGAAATAAATATGTTGTGTGTTTCAGGTGAACCTCCTGACAAATAAGCACCACAAACCTACAGTCTGGAAGTGTGGGATTATTGTTTGGATTATTGTTTGGATTATTGTTCCTGGTTTTACAAACACACAGTGGTTGCAGAGCTTCAAGATGTGGGATAATAAAGATATTTTAAAAATGTCTTGACTTTTATTATTTACAGATGATGCAACATGTCATCAGCAGACTGCACCAGGCCGTTGTGTGTTTGTTTGTTTGTTTATTTCCTCCTGCTTCATTATTTCTGAGTTTCAACAAACCGTGCTGACGTCAGGTAGTTAGCTACAGCCTCGTCTTCCAGGTTTTTATTTTTGTTGATGCGTTTTGAAGAGACTTTATTTTGAAAAGAGGATCAAAGTAAATCCTGAGTTTTTCTAGTGACTCTTAAATAGATAAATTATTTTATCTGTCCTTGTTCCTAATTTAATAAGGATTTGAAACGTTGAAGTATGTTTTTTAAATCCAGAACAGCACATGTTTCAAAGTGTGTTGATGCTGGTCTTCATCACCTGACACATTTAACACGCTGTCATTGGT